ATTTACATTACAGGATGTAATCTGAATAATCTAGAAATTATCTAAAGTGTAGAGAATGACGTGTTTAAATCATAGACAAACATTACATCACCTTACAGAAGGGGCCTGAACACCATGGATTTGGGAGTTCACAAGGAGTCCCAGAGTCACTCTCCCACAGATTTGTGGGTTGATCACGTGGACAGTACTCCGAAAAATCTCCTTATGTTAGGTCAAAAATATGGAAAAATTAGGCACTGAATACAGAAATTCAGGGAGAACAACCAGCTCGTGGCCCCTCCTGTCCCTCTCTCAGACAGGAGCTTTCTTTCCCTCAATAAATATATTCTGCTCATTAAAAATATAATATATAGAAATTCAGGCAGGATAGCCCTTGGGTGTGAATGATGGCACTGATCAGAAAGCAGAGGGAGCAGCTGGAATTCTGTGGAGACAGGACTTCCCCGTCTGAGGGCTGCGTAGGTCAGTGCGTGTAATCTGAAAAAGTTCAATAAACTGTACACTCAAGTGTGCTTTATGACTACTTAGCATATTTTGTTATAAAGTTTTCTTAATGTTTCTCAGAATTATTGAAGCATACAACTACCAGGTCTGAGAAGTTCACTCTTTAACAGATGAAATACTATTCATATGGAAGCATCATAAAAACCAAAAGAAGCAAAAGACAAAGATCGTAAAGGAATCTATAAATCAAGATTATACTTAATATAATGTTAGTCAAGTTAAAAGGACACTCAGCAAGACCCACAGTAGTCAGAAAACATTGCAATACTTTTTTAAAATTCCAGGATAATTACCAAGTTATATTTACACTGTTACAAAAATGCAAATTATTTTTTAATATTTATGAACAAAATTGTGCCTATTATTTAAAATATCCTTATTAAATGAATGTTGAGCTATTTCAGTAAACATGTTCATTGTAATTTTAAGAAAAAGGGAGCATGAACAAAGAGGAAAATACAATTCAATAGCACACAGCAAATATAAGAATTATGTATAGTGCACATAAAATTGAGAAAAGATTTTGAAAACCAGACAGACATGTAGATTTGCAGTTGAATTTCTAGCGTATATGTAGTTAGCCCAAAAGGAAATCAGAAATAAAATAAAGCAAAACAAAGATTTGAAAAACTAATGGGTGAGAGTGCCCAGGAGCTCAGGGATAGCAACCCGCGCATGCAAGAAGCACTGAAAATTCAGAGCACACTGCAAATGAGCAAAGCCAGATCGCATCATCCCAGCAAAACATGCAACAAAGGGGGAAACATCTGAAAAGGAGGCGTCGAACTTAAAGGATTTATTACTAAAGAAACAAAAGTCTTTTATAGCTTATCTCTCAAGAAAAATGATGAATTCCAATTGACAATAGGACAAAATCCTGAAAGAAGTGAAAGGAATAATTAACAATCTATATTTCTGCACTCATTAGAAACATTCTTCAAAATTGCAGCTGAAAAGGTGCTTTCACACATCAACCACACAGAGAAAGAAAAGCAAGTCACGGACTGTCAGGAGTGCTGTACTGCCATTGCTGCACCGATCGTATTAAAGTGGGGACTTATTAGGATTGAAATAGCCCAAAATGGAAACCTAGAGACAGCGGAATGAGTGAGCACATGAACAAACGTAAGCTCTAGGCCACATTAGTGGGCAGCCGTCATTTCTGAGACCACGCTGCCTTATCTAGGGCGTCCTAACTGCTTACAGGGGTCCAGTGTACTATGCCACCAGAAATTTAGTGACATGGCTACTGTCTTCTCCTGGGATCATTGCTGCCATATATTTCAATTAGATAATCCCTGAAACTATTCCTCTGCTCATCACTTCTTGAATTAAGCTCATTATGCACCTTTTTATACATTC